CAACTGTGATGTTTTGTTAAGGAAACTCAAGCACGAATTTCTCCCACAATAACAAGATGATATATCAATAACAAAGTGGCGACTTTTGCCAAAACAATTAATTAGAGTTGTAAAACAAAAAATATGGTCGGCTGATGCCAAGAGCTTTACTTTATATCAAGTATACAAAATTATATTTTAGTTTGATTCTCGATTAACTTTATCCAGGTGCTTTAGAAGGCTTTTTCATATAAAAGCGTATTCTAAACAATTAATAGTTCTATATGTAATATTAGATATGGAATACAGCAAATTAAACTATATCTCGGTCCCAGAGGATATGGGAGAATCGAAATTGCAAAAATAAGGAAAAATAGTGTACACGTGACTGAGGCGATAGCAACAGCGCCAAAAGATCGGAAATTTGTTGAATATATTTTTTTATTGCCCTTGTAGGGAGACGAGATTACGGTCCACCTGATGGTGAGTGGTTACCGTCGCCCATGGACTTCAATGTCAGGGGCAGAGCCAAGCCGCTGTGTACCGAAAATTGAATCAGTAAATCAAGGTAAAAATCCTATTTAAAAATAGTGTATGTAACGTAACCCAGTCGCAAAAGTTACAAACAATTCCAATACCTGTTATTTATTTATTAATGACAAACCAACCGACAAACAAATTTTATCTGGATCTATATATTCATGTTATTATATCATACTAGCGGCCCGCCCCGGCTTCGCTTGGGAAATAGCGCACGCGATGTAACGAATTTTAGGTCATTTTTTTAACACATTGGGTTACATTATTTGAGTTTCAGTAAGGATCCCTAATTTTTTTGAAAATATAATAAATATAGCCTATGTCACCCGGGGGTAGCGTAGCTTTCCAACAGTGAAAGAATTTTTTAAATCGGTTCCGTAGTTTCGGAGCCTATTCACAATACAAACAAACAAATCTTTCCTCTTTATAATATTAAGTACAGATATATATCATCATCAATATATCATCGTATTAAATAGAATTTTATTGACTTTTCATGCAAACGAGCATACGGCCTGCTTGATGGGACTCATGGATATCAACAATACCAGGGGCCAAGCCAAACCGTTACCGACGAACTATATGAGTCTTAAAAACACCTTAGTTTCGAAATCACAAACTGTTACTTGAATTTTATTCGTTTATAAATAATACTGTTGACATTTCAAAATTACAGGAATCACAGGAAGTATTCTAACGATCGGCGATACTAATATTGTTTCGCTCAAGCAAAAATCCTGGAAGAGAATCGGCTAATTGTATGTCCAATTAAAAATATACGACACACGATATGGTACGAAATAAGTAATAATTGTAACGTAAAATACACAATCAATCTCGCTTATTTTCTCTGATTACAATTAAGCTCATTTTATGACGACACCTGCATTTGAAAGTAAGTATTGTACTTTTTGACGAAGCATGTTGCTGATAACTTTATTTCTGTAATCTGACGAAGCATGTTGCGGATAATAACATGTACTTTTAGGTTAGGAATATTTATGTTCTTTTTTTTTTAATAATATTTAAATTACAGTGAATACACAATTAAGCTCATTACAACTCTAATTACAATTAATCAGATATTTATTTGTGTTGTGACAATTGTTGACGACCAACGACGCTGGTCTCCGCGGTACGGTAGCCTGTTAGGGCGCCCCGGCGAAAGACTTAGTACTCATGTCTCAAGGTAAGCGGCGGCCTTTGACCTTTAAATACTAAACACCCTAATAACGTTCGTCCGACTATATCTATACATATAAATAAAATTAAAATTCAATAAATTTCTTGTTGAAAACAATACACTGTTTCCAAGAAAAACAAGCGTTAACATAAAATATTTAAATTAGTTTGTTTCCAGATTAAATTAATTTCAGGCTAAAACCAAACTCATATTTACGATGAAATACGAAATAATTGAATTTTATTAACGTATTTAAGTTGTTGAACATTGTTAAACGCGCCCTAAATATAAATGTGAATTTATTTTTTGACATCTATACACATTAATATTGTATATTTATCGTCTGAATTCAATTGAGGAACATCGAACTGTGTAAATACAGTGGGTCTAGTTAGTACCACGATCCCATAAATTCCTGTCGTGAATCAATTTTAAGTGAATTGGAATCATTTATTTACTAGCTTGTTATGTTGCTAGCTGACAGGAGATCACGCGTTCGCTCACCTTTTTTTTTTCATAGCTGAGGAATCCATTTACGGATACCCGGTCAAGGGGGGCTACGAACCGGTTTATGTCGGACTCCGGCGCCTCCCGAGAGGAAGAGGGAGACGAGGAGGGCCAAGGTCCTCCACCTCCCCCAATTCAATTCGCTCACCTACCCGCTGGTTAGATCTAGTAAAGATGCTCACCGGCCTGCCAATAATCGAGGCTATGAAGACAGCCGAGGACAGGAAGACATGGGAATCATAATGCATCGAGCGATCAACACTTCAAGCTACGACCTTCAGCAATGAAGCTCATACCCGATCCGGTGGTAGATTCTGCGAAGGCTAGGGCAACTTAGCAACTTTTTTTTTCTACCTAAGCTGATAGCCTTGAGAGGCTATTTCAGCGTTACCTTAACTGGTAGGTGAGCTCAGGGGGCTCAAACCTGACGGCGTTGCTAACACAAACCCTAACAAGAGCCGTGCTTCGCAGAATCTACCATCGGATCGAAAACGCGACCCACTGAGAAGATCGGGCGAAAAACTCAGTGGGCTGTGCCTGTGGGTTAATTTACTCGTCGAGACCTTCATCGCAAGCGACAGGTTCGACGAGAACGATGACCGGTGTTAGCAACACTCCCGGCTTGAGCCCCGTGAGCTCACCTACTAGCTCGGTGAATCTAGAATAACCCCTTGAGGTTAATAGAATACCTAGTAAAAAAAAAGCAATGAAGAACCCGACTAAGGAAGAAAGGAAGAAATTCACTAGCTAAACCCGACAAAGCTTTTCGGATATTAATAAAACATCCTATTTAAATTGGACTTTAATCGGATCGGATTAAAATCCGATTTGTAGGTACGGAGTCCTAACACATTTTCTCAATTAAAAGTAAACTAAGTTCCACCTTGTAACATCAGCTATATGCCATTTATAATATAGTTTCATTGAAATCTGTCTAGACGTTTCAAAGCTTGGACGTAACAATGTTTATTACATAACAAAATTTATAAATATTGTGTTTTATTTTTGTTATGTGTACCCTAATTACTTAGTATTTAATAACAGTTAGTAACAGTTGTTGTTTTGACATTATAAACATATATGACATTACTTTACGTATTTATGTATACTAGTGGTCCCGCAGTAGTCGAAATTCGACTATAATTAATTGAAATTATAAATTTGTACACTATTATCATTATTTTGTCAAAGACTATTAAATACTCTTTTAATGACAGATTTCGCCAAGACTACACTATAGAAAAATATTAATAAAGACTAACAATATTTAATCTATTCTCAATTTGACAGACTGCAAAGAAAAGTTTGACAATAAACAAATAGTATGCATGCGTGTGTGCGTCAAATACATTTTAATGTGTGTAATGTTTATTTTATTGGTTTAATGTATTTTTTTATCAATAATTTAAAAAAAATTTAAATTCTGCACTCCTTCTCTATATTCTCTATAAGTGTGGGAAATTTCATACTCCTCCATGCGCGCAATTTTCGTAAAAAGGGATACAAAGTTTTTGCTTCACGTATTAATATATAGATAACGCATAAAAATATAACGATAAATATTAAAAGGATATTTAAGTACAGAGGTACTGCCTATTTCTCTTATAAATAACTACCGGAAGACTAGCGAGATTAATAAATATGACAGTAATAATGAAAAGCTGCCAGTGAGTGTAGAGTTAAAGATAATAATATACCTCTTTAACATCTTATTGAAAATTAACTCAAACAAATGTATCAGGATAGACCTCTGTCACCATAATTAACATTACCATCCATATAGTAAATGGTATGGTTTTTACTGGTGGTAGGACCTCTTGTGAGTTCGCACGGATAGGTACCACCACTCTGCCTATTTCTACCGTGAAGCAGTAATGCGTTTCGGGTTGAAGGGTGAGGCAGCCGTTGTAACTATACTGAGACCTTAAAACTTACATCTCAAGGTGGGTGGCGCATTTACATTGTAAATGTCTATGGGCTCCAGTAACCCCTTAACACCAGGCGGGCTGTGAGCTCGTCCACCCATCTAAGCAATAAAAAAACAATATATGTATGTAGTATGTCAATCGACTTTAATTACCACTTAACAGCAAATGAGCCACGAACACGACTGCACGTTATGCAGAAATAAAAAAAGCAATTCATCGAAGTACTGAATATTTATAGGAAACCTCACATCCGAATATTTATATTTCAGTATCACTTAATTAATTTACTACTACATAACTCTGGTTTTTCAATTTCACTATAATATTTACCAACGGATTTTTCATTTGACTAAAACCTCACCCACACGCACTCAGCAAAATTAAATCCGTAGCGCTCCATTAAATAAAAACTCACAGCGTCACATTATTATATGAATTCACGTCATATTAATTCCTTTATGATGACAAACAGTACTTAAGAAATGAGAAAATTGCGACGGAATCCAATTTCCTTCGCGGAATAAGCCACAAGAACAATTAAAAAATACGTGTCTTGCAAAATTCGAGTTACCAACTTAAATAATAATTATTATTATTATTAATACTTTATTTCAGATTTTTTTTTTAAAACCACAAAATTTTGTTAGTAAGAATTGCTTATAATCTATGTTAGTAACTTAAAAAATCTAACACATAACTATCATTATATACATTTTATACCATTACATTTTTATTTTTTATTTTTTTTCTCCTTCCAAGTGCCTACTGCAAATGCTATTGATCAGCAATCCCTCGATCTGGCTCGATATGATTTTCAAAAGACCGTTGCCACTGTCACGGACTCCATAATAATAAAAACTCACCTCCAAATAATATGACGAAAATCGCCGTCAAAGGAACTCTTGTTGCCAACATTATTAACACACACTTTCCACTCAAAAATAACAAAATCAAAAATTCATCTACGTAACAGATCTTTTCACAAAGATTTTTGCATCATCTTCAACTTTCGAGTTTAAATTGCGAATTCGAAATTCCGCGCCAGAGGTCCGGGACACGCGAGACGTCTGCTCTCATCGAAGGTCAGCGAAATACTGAAACTTCGCTTGATATCTGTATCAGATTTCAGCGGCAGACCACATGCAGGAAAACTTGAGTGAAGTATTTCAAAGACTGCGTATTGGGCGACTATTGAATCGAGAGGGTTTTAGGCTGTGGCTGTGCCACCTTCGTGTTAGCTGACGCCCGGTGCTACGTTTGGGATGGATTTAAATGACAATTGCCAGTCCGACAACCGGCTAAGGCTTTAAACGTATTGTGGACATCCATTTTATGCTGGTTTGATTTCCATCCACGTGCATTGTTCGTCGAGCCACCACTTAACTGAATTGCTGTTATAAAATCTATAATTTCGGATATCGTAAAAATGAATAAAGTTTATGCGTTCGCGTGAATAGTTTTCACAGATTGGACCAATTTGATTTTTCGTTTAAATAAAGCAATAGTTATTAATGTTTGAAATACAATATCTGGTCATTACGGTATCCAATCAAAAGAAGATTTCAAAAATATGAAACAAAGGGTGAAACAATAAACTATTTAAATGAAAACTGAGACAGAATTTTTATGCTTTCATTTTGAAAGTAATTTTCGGTGAACGAACGTCAGGTACTTTCATCATATTTCCTAATTTCTTTTCTATACTAATATTATAAAGAGGAAAGATTTGTTTGTTTGTTTGTTTCGAATAGGCTCCGAAACTACTGGACCGATTTGAAAAATTCTTTTTCCATTAGAAGCCGACATTGTCCCTGATGAACATAGGCTACTTTTTTTTTTTTTTTGTTTTGTTTCATGTGTGTTTTAATGTTTCCGAAGCGAAGCGAGGGCGGGTCGCTAGTGTTTAATATTTGTACAGAGCAGTTAAGTTACGTACCATGACAGTGACTTCACGAGAACAATACTATAAAACTACACATATTCAGCAGTGGACGTCTTTTCGCTTATGATGAACATGAACATGTGACGTGGTTCTTTGGAAACCGTTGCCCTTTAGGTAAGATTGTGTAGTGTACTAGAATATTTTTTTTGTTGCTTAGATGTGAGGACGAGCTCACAGCCCACCTGGTGTTAAGTGGTTACTGGAGCCCATGGACGTCTACAACGTAACTGCGCCACACACCTTGAGATAAAGTTCTAAGGTCTCAGTATAGTCACAACGGCTGTCCCACCTTTCAAACCGAAACGCATTACTGCTTCACGGCAGAAATAGGCGGGACGGTGGTACCTACCCGTGCGGACTCACAAGAGGTCCTACCACCAGTATCACCACCCCATCTCATCCCGATGTGATATAAGGTGACTAAGAGATTTACCGGTTGACAGCGGATTTGTCCGATAATTATCAAATCAACGTACCTCAAGCATTAGCATTTACTAGTGGTAGGACGTATTCTAAGTCCACACGGATAAGTGTAACCATACATTTTACTTACGTTGCAAAGCAGTCATACGTTCCGGAGTGAAACATTAAAAATAAAGGTAGGTAATGAGGTTTATTTTAAAACTAGCGACCCGCCCTCGCTTCGCTTCGGAAACATTAAAACAAACATGAAATCAAAAAAAAAAAAAAAAAATTATAAAAAGTAGCCTATGTTCATTAGGGACAATGTCGGCTTCTAATGGAAAAAGAATTTTTCAAATCAGTCCAGTAGTTTCGGAGCCTATTCGAAACAAACAAACAAACAAATCTTTCCTCTTTATAATATTAGTATAGATACATTTGAGCGGTTCATTGAATACAATACAATCGAAATTTCGACCTCATATCTGTGTGTCGTGTTGACGCCGTGTTGTCTATAGGCTCCTATGATTACTTCAAAGAACGATTTAACACAAACAAAATTCGCTTTTGTTTACCGTTCTGCCGTGTTTTACTGCGAAACATTAAGGTCTGTTAAATAAATATCCGCTAGCTTAGTGCAACCGAGATATTTCACTAGAAGCCGTAGCGCGAATCTTTTAGATATTATCAAGTCTTTAGATGGCTTTAACGTAAACCGCGATGAGAGTTCAAGATAGAAGCCGCTCAGTCGAAATCTAATCCATTCTAATTAATTGGTTCTACTTTCACAAAAGCACGAAAAAAAGCTAAGTAAGTAACTAAGTTTTCACAGTTTTTGATTACTTTTTAAAGTGTAGGTTATCTCCGTCGTGTAGATACTACTATTGGCTATGTAGGTACCTAATAATGTAATAATGATCAGTATTGGAAGGTGGACCACAAAGATTATCTGTGTTAGTGAGGCAGAAGTATTCGATGCCTAAGTTTCGTTTGTTTTAAATCGGTTGAAGCGTCAAGAGTAGAGAAATTTGATGAGTTTTATTTTTATTTTTAAACTGCCTCCTCTAGTAGACCATGAAAAGAACAAACGCGTTTTTGACCGAAACTACTAAGATACAGAGGTAAGATCAGGACAAACGTTAGGTCCCCTACTCTGACCGGGTTCTGACCCCGGACGGAGATCGGACGTCGGGTGTAAGAGTGCAGGGGAGTCGTTTAGTACGATAGGGCCGTAAAAGATCCTTGGGAGCACCCAAAATCTGCCGATCGTCAAGTCCTACATACCCCGCAAGTCCACTAGGTGCGGGGACCTCGGAGGTTTGGACCCACGTCCGAAAAAAAAGAAAAAAAGGGACAAGGATTAGGTCCGTGTGATTGATAGTTAGACCGATGGTTCTAGCGTTATTACTCCGGACTTGTATGTGTACAAGCACATCTAGAATATGTTTTTGACGCGAGCCATGCTTCTCGTGTCTATTATTCTATGATAGCTTCTGCTACAAGTTGCAACACTTGTATTAAGCTAATGTCAACTCTTCTCCCTCTTTCGTTTCCTATTATTAAAGATTAAGGATCCCTATTATTAAGGAATAAATTACATGTATTTTTCATAATTGGAAGGGATTGCCTGCATGTGTTTTTTACTCATAAAATGTGTTTGTTTAATATTTAAGAACAAGGAAGAGGAAAACATGTAATATGTTTGTATAGACCAAACCCCGATTAAGAATATTTTTAGCAATTGTTTAAGACGATCCGGCATCGTTGTTTATCATCATTCTACCTAGCATTGGGATTGAGCTCATCCCTACAACTTGGAAGCCCTTCGTTCACAACAGAACTTAAATAGAAACCCCAATTAAGAATATTTTGAGCAATTGTTTAAGACGATCCGGCATCATTGTTTATCATCATTCTACCTAGCATTGGGATTGAGCTCATCCCTACAACTTGGAAGCCCTTCGTTCACAACAGAGCTTAAACAAAAGTTCTTGCAACTCACCCTCACTTTGCCCATATACTTGTCTGCTATATAGGAACACGCCGTGAGGGCTACACATATTGATGTTTAATAATATAATAATTATTACGTGTCATCTAGCTATCATCCTTTATACAATTACCGGTAAAATAGAAGGTGAAAGGCCAAGGGGTTGAACTTAAAGCTATGACATAGCAGCTGGAAATGTCCGTCAATGAAGACCTCCAACAGACAAAGGAATTGATGAAGAGAAACACGGAGAAGACTACAGTAGAGTCTCAATCCTAAACAATAGAAGAACGACTTAGAAGAAGAATAAGAAACGATTTATGAATTTTTTTACTGCTTAGAATTGTGGATGAGCTCACAGCCCGCCTAGTTTTAAGTGGTTACTGGCGCCCATAGACATCTACAACTTAAATGCGTCCACACCTCGAAATATAAGTTCTAAGGTCTCAGTATAGTTACAACGGCTGCCCCACCCTTCAAACCGAAACGCGTTGCTGGCGTTCATTCATGGCAGAAATAGGCAGAGCGGTGGTACCTACCCGTGCGGACTCACAAGAGGTCCTACCACCAGTAATAAACAAAATAATACTGTAAAATATTTATTGACCTGCCTTGGCTTAGTAGTCGCGTTTAATATTGGATTTCATTTCTCAGTATCTACCGCTCGATTTTTGCGTATGAGTCCCTTATGCGAAGTGATTTTATGTGAGATACCGAACTCTGAATTAGCATTCTCCGCTTCTCCGGGTTCGAAAGATATTTTAGAAAATCTTTCATCCATTTATATCTTTAACGATGATCGTTAAGTTCCTCGACACCTGTGTAAGAATATTGTGTGCGCTGTGTTCAATTTTACTTTTAAAGTATTGTTGAGTACTTTATTTCAGCACAGAGCAAAGTTTTACGTGAAAATTATTACTTTTAGGGCGACTTAGACTTGTGATTCAAAAGCCAACTTGATTATTCTGGAAAACTTTCCAGATTTGTGGGCATATTTTTTTTAAAACTCATCTGTGCAAAAATTAAACATACTTAAATCCGTACTGTTTTTGGCTTTATTCGTCGAGCAATAAAGCCTTCTATGTAGAGCCACGATAAGTTTCGTAGATCTCACAAACAGTACTTACCAGACGTTTGTATTGTGGCGCATGGTCCATCTGACGTTAAGCAATTACTGGAGCCCACAGTTATCACAAACATGGACGCTGTCATCCAACTCAAGACACGAAGTCTCAATTGTGTTATTTAACAGCTTCCTTGCCATTCAAAGTCGAAAAAAGGATACGGGCGAGGCTGAGATGGACGAATATCGATCTTAGACTGTCCATTACCTTAATACTAATTCTATGGTTCTAATTTTTTACCTTCAACAACTATGTATAGCTGGACCCCTGATACCAAACAATGAATTCTATGAGGTAGACGCTAAATGACGCATAGCCACAGTAAAATAGATTGAAAAACAGGTGTTCTATATTTCTGTACATGACTGAAACGCAGTCTTTGTTTTTAAATCAAGAGTAAATTGCTGTTGGTGGGTAGGACCCTAAAACATTATTGGGTCCGCGATTATCCCATACCAACCTCGTACG